TTTTTGCATCTGTTTGGGATACTTGAACATGTTAACTAATATAATTTATTATTTAAATTTTTACTTATTGCTTAGTATTACATAATTAGAATTCTATTAAAATAATAATTTTATATAATTAGGATACTGATAAAATAATTATTTCTTAATTAGTAATTTAAGAATTCTATAAATATTCAGGTGTTATAATCTAAAGGGCGAATAAAAGTTATATTTTTTCTTCAAATTCTATATATTATCAAAGCAGAATAAGAACATTTTGAGATTTTATTTGTAGGGTTTCTTTAAAATCCTAAAACAACAAAAGGAAGCTAAGGAGAAAGAGAGCCAGACCAAGGGGAAGAGAGGAAAGATCAGAGGAAGGGAGAAAGCAGCCGGATCCTTCCTCCACCGCACACAGAGCGGCGCAAACGGTGACCCGGTTTCTTCCTCCACCGTGCGCAGAGCCGCGCGGCCCAGTTCCTTCTTCCACCCCGTGCAGAGACGTGAAGACGCTCTCGATTTTCTTCTTCTTCCTCTGCGCGCAGAGACGCGCGATCTGCCTCACTTGGAGCATACGAAGCCTCTGGCCACGACCTACTGGCCTTCTACAGAGCATAAGTTTTCCCCTTTGCCGCACGCAGATCCGTATGCAGGAAGTTTTTCTAGCCAGCTGCATTGAGCCAATCTGAGCCGTTGAGCCGAGATAATTTCAGCCCGAGCCGAGCCGCCTGCACCAAGCCGATCCAAGCTGTTTTCTGAGCCTAACTGTTTTTTGAGCCGAGTCAGATATCTAATTTCAGTATTTTTGTCCTTTTTGTCTATTTCAGTGCAAATTACGTGGTCTGTTTTTATTATTGAATATTTTTCTTCCTATCTTTGGTACTTCAAAGTTATATAAGAAAAAAAAGTGATGATTTTTTATTCGGATAATCTTTCATTGCAAATCAGTATTGTAAAACTTGATGGAACTAATTATCTTGTTTGGTAAAGACTTTATTTATTGTTTATCAAACTTAGAGGATTGTAGGGGTACATTACAAGTGATATGAATAAACTAAAAGTAGATAATTTGAAATATAATAGATGAGACTTTGAAAATTCTTTAGCAATGTCTTGACTAATCAATCTCATGCAACCACATATTGCACGAACATATTTGTTACTCGATATAGCAGCAAAAATATGGAATACGACATCTCTTACTCATTTACAAGTGAGTTATGATGCCCAAGTTTATGAACTCCGCAATAAAATTCATGGCACAAAATAAAGAGAGATGACTATTTTATAATATTTTGTTGAATTGAGTGGATTATGGTAGAAATTAAATTACTATCAAGACCTTTAAACAAATTATTTTGTAGATACAGTCAAATTTCAGAAATTGAAAAAAAAAAAAACGAATTTATGATTTATTAGCTGGTTTGAATACCGAGTATGATCAAATACGGATTCAGGTGCTTCATAAGGATCATTTTTCTTCATTATAACAAACTTATGCCTATATCCAGTAAGAAAAAAGTAGAAAGAATGTCATGCTTTACATAGCACCAGTTGAAAAAATTAGATTATTTGCTCAGTCTGAATAATTCAAGAATTTACGGAGTTATGACTATTATGGCAAGCCAAAACACAGAAAAGAGACTTGTTGGAAGTTGCATGAAAAGCCAAGTAGAGGTAGTGAGAGAAAGAATGGTGGACCTATGAGAGCTCAAGAAAATTTTGTTGAGAAAAGTGAAACACCTGATACACCGACAAATAGAGCTTTTTCGAATGAGAAGATTCAAGTCTTGAAGCGTATTCTGTCTCAATTTAACTATTTATCAGCTACAGGTACAACAAATCTAGTAAAATCAGAATCTTCGAATAAGGAAGAAGATTGGTACTGATAAACTGGAAGATGACTCCTTAGAACCTGATCTGCAAGTTGGGTATGAGAGATAACCCTGCACCAACTTGAGGAGGGGTGTTGAGTAATATAATTTATTATTTAAGTATTTTAGTTAGTAGTTGATATTATGTCATTAGAATTGTATTAGAATAATAATTTTATATAATTAGAATTTTAGTAAAATAGTTATTTTCTAATTAATAGTTTAAAAATTTTATAAATACCCAAGTGTTACAATCTAAAAGGTGAGAATAAAATTATATTTTTTTTTCAAATTTTACAAAACAATAATTCTTGGGGGAATTAATTGGAAGCAGGTGAATACATGGGATGATGCTTTGCTGTTTCTTTTTATTTCATTTATCTGACTGATGGGTTGCTTGAAGACTGGCTGAATGAGAGTAGTATTGAGTGAGCTAATAGGAGACAGGAAATATATCACAGAATGGTATTTTGGGTTCTGTTGAATAATATCTGAATGGGAGTACCTTGGGTGACCAAATAGGAAGCAGGGAGGAAAATCTGGGTAGAATTGATCTCAATTGTAGCTGAGGAGTTGTAGGAAACCTGGAAAGTAGCAAAAGTTTGCAGAGATGCTTTTGTAGAGGGAAGAAAGTGAACAGTAAATTCTCAGACAGGAAACAGGGGAATTTAGAGAAATAATAGAGGTGAATAGTGAGGAATTGTGAAGTTATGCAGAAAGGTGAACAAGAGAGGGTATAGGGATGGAACCAAATTTTGAGGTGGTTGCGGATTTCAAATCATAGGTTTGAATTTTAAATTTGACTTAGTGGACATACCAGCTCATTACTGTTTTATTTGCTGATGCGGTGAAGGAGGAATAAGTTCAGGAACTACTGATAACGGATCCCATTACCCAGAGGATGCAGAGGGTGCCGAGAGAAGTAGTGCAGGATATAATACCTTTACACTTTCACACACACACGTAGAAACAGATTTGGTATATTTGTATTTTGAATACTTTTTTTTTACTGTTATGGAGCATGATGACCGTGCCCTTCAAGAGGATAGGATATATATGTATATGGTTGAAGTGTAACAGGTGTATGGATGATTATATTTTGGAATGAGAAGGATTATGCTGTGTTATACCAAATGGTAATATTAGAGGGACATACTACATGGAAATGTAAGAACGCCTTGACTATTAGGGGCACGGGGTGTTATAAGAACTATCTTTACCAGCTGTGTGCACAAATTTTCAACTCATAAAATTTTGTGAAATGAATGTTATCCGAGGCTAAACATTGAAAATTAAATGCCATCAGATTAGTTCTCTTTCATAAAATTGTCTTTCTCAAACCATATTCTCTTGCAGTTGGAAATGATGCCGTATATCTTAGGAATTATTTTCTTTATAAATCATTTTAAAGTCTTTGCTAAATAAAGATTAATCACCTCTATCATGTGTGGGGTTGGCTGATTTCCAATGCAAAGATCTGTTAATGATTTGAATGTTAGCATTTCTTTTGCTATATTTTTCCTGTTCTTGGATGCTATATATTTTGGGTTCTGTGTAATTACCGCCTTTTTCTATCTATCTTCGTTGTAGCAAAGGAAGCAACTCCAACTAGCCTCATAACAATTACAAATGCATGTACAGAAATATGTGGACACTGGTGTATAGTTTCTCTTACAGACAAGTCTTTTAGTTTTCTAAAAATTGTATCCGTGTCTTTGAGAACTATTATCTACTTTGTTGTTATTCTTTTTCTTTTGTAATTAAAAATTGGCCATGTTAAGCTTCAAGAATTTCTTTCTTTTAACTTTGAGTGGTTCACACAAAAAGGATGAAGAGAGGCTTCATGGTATCACTCACTCATGTATGGTTTGGGTAAAGGCAGTAATTTATGTTAGTTAATTCTGAGTTAGAATGGAATATGGCATTGTAGATATAGTATAAAAATATGGATGAAAAAACATAGTTTGTGAATAGGCTAGCACGATTCTAGTTTTTCTTTCAGTGATCCTACACTTGCTGTAAGATGTAACATTTCAGATGTTTCAATCTTCTTGACTCATTATGGCATCCTAAATTTTGTTTGAGCTTATTTTTCTGTTCGAATGAAGGAGAGTAGAAGTGTTTTTCTGCACAGTTGATATCATATATTCTTATCAACACAGGTGCAAGTTGAATTGGCATAAGAAGGATTAGTTGTTCAGTTACAAATCAAGATTAGTTCCATGATTAATTGTTTTCTTTGATAAGGAAAACATGAAGCACATTGCATTTGTCAGATCTCTTCGTGCCTGCACTGCCCTTTCTAGAATAAATGGATCTTTGCAATTTTGTTTTTTTCAACATGATTTTGTTCCAAGAGATCCCAAAACCAAGCCTAAACGCTGTAAATATCCTGCACTTAACCTGCATTTATGATCCATATGGACCAAGACCTCCGCCTGCTGATAAAATTCTTCAGCTGGCCGAGCGAATTATTGTTCTACCTACAGAAGAACGAAGACAAATTGGTCCTTCTCTTCATGAGAGGTTAAGACATCCAAAGTTGCAGCCAATTTCAACCGAAGGCATGGACATAGGTCCAAGTGGGGATCAAGGACCTGTAAAGGTTGAGGAGAAAAAAAGAGAAAACCGCATTTGATGTAAAGCTGGAGAAGTATGATGCTGCTTCAAAGATCAAAGTAATTAAAGAAGTGAGGGCATTCACTAATTTGGGATTAAGGGAGCTAAAGACTTGGTTGAGAAGGTCCCGGTTTCGCTTAAACAAGGGGTAACCAAAGAGGAAGCAAATGAAATGATAGACAAGACAGAGGCAGCCGGAGACATTGCAATTATGGATTGAGAATGCATTTTATTCTTTGTTTCTTGATTAGCTGTTTCAGTATGTAGTGGAATTTTGTGAGAAAACATAAATGGTGTTAAAGCGAACACTGAAACCAGCTTCTCTTAAAGATGGTAGAGACAGGCCATGTTGGTTTATTGTACACTGTTTCATTCTTTGTTGACTGTGTGTACTGAACAGTATTGAAGGAAGGGTGTGCCGGCATAGCCCGTGTCTTTTTATTTTCAACTATCTGGTGTGTTTGTAGTGTTTCTTTCTGGTCACTCTTGCTATCTGAAATAATTGGACATGATAATGCCTTGGTAAATGAATGGAGGTATATGATGCTTAATAAATGTAGTAAAAGAAGTTTGAAAGTTATACTTTTCTGGTTAAATATAGTAAAAATAGCTCATGAAAATACCAAGACTCGGAGTGGATATTTCACTTGGCAGCTTGACTTATAAGAAAGACGTTTCTTTGCAGACCCGACCGATCCTTTTTTTCTGGAGTTCCAAATTTATCTATTCCTAGTGAGAAGTTAAACAGGCAAAGCAGAATACTAGTCAATCAATCTTCATGAGCTTGAAAATTTTTCTTCTTTTTACCAACTAATCAGAAGCAGATGATATCACGCTTTAGTGCCTGTTTCCTCATCTCATGCATATTCACTTTAACCCTAGAATTATACCATTCAACCTCATTTCCTTCTTCAGCTATGCCAGCTTGGTCTTGAGCTTCTTCCCATTTCTGGATAAGCACAGAAGCCTTGGCTTCCTCCTATTGCCTGCACCTTCTCTTTCTCCTTTTTTCTTCCTTGGTCGATTGAAGAACTGGACAAACGCCAAAATGGTGGTGTTTGACCTAAGGAGAAAGCTGGACTAGGTTCATTTTAAAAATCTTTTTTGGATTAAGGGAAGAAGAAGAGGCAAGAAAAAAATGGAAGGGAAGGCAATGTCTCACTATTCTCTTCTTTCTCTTTTCCTCTCAATTAATTTTATTTTTCCTCTTTCATTCATTTTTGTGTCCTTAATTTTTCTTCTTTTCATCTCTCTTTTCCGTATAGTAATAATAATTATAATAATAATAATAATAATAATTACAAATAAATTAGTTATTATCATGCTTAACTTTTCATTATTCATTTATTTTTATTATTATTATTATTATTATTATTATCATCATCATTGAATCATCCAATCACTCTCAATTTTTAAGTTAAAAGAAGCTTGCCTGTTCATGCAAAACTTACCGCCTCAAATATGTGACCAATAGCTTTATCTGGTTGGAATTCCAAGTCTCTATAATATATCTGGTTCTTCAAGCCCTTTTCATCCTAGCAAAATCCAACACCCCACCCTAATTTGAGCCTCACTATTGGTCCCAACTCAAGCATGAGACTCAGTAGTCTGAAAATGCACATCCAGATGTTGAATACATTATTTAGTTTGTCTATATATATTGAATTTCTTTTTCTAAATTTTTAACAATGTTGTTATATCTTTTAATAAGGTAATAATTTAATAAATTTTGCGTTAAAAAAAATTGAAAAAATAACTTTAATAAAAAGTTAAATTGAAAATTAATTATCAAAAACATTATTTACAAACTTGCTACGGTTTGTTAGAATTAAATTAAACTAGATATGAAAATAAAACTGTAAATAAATCTTGTATTGAATCAAAAAGAATAAACACGGAAATGTATCTGAATCCATAACGGAAGAAATTTTCACATAAGACGGTAGATACTCCAAATCGACACACGACCTTTCAACATTTTTCTGTTAATAAGATAACAAGAAAATAAAATTTTATGAGCGATTTGAAGACCATAACTACCTTTTTATATCGCAACTTTTGTCATTTTTTATTTTACCCATTATAAAATGAGAAATTATAACTATGGTATCTGTACATATTACAAACTCATACTTAAGTTTGATACATTTAAGGCGCATTACCATTTAACTGCAATTAATAACTTTTAAACGGGTCGAATAAATTGATAGCATGCTACGTACACTAAGGAACACATTAAGTGCATTTGTGGATAAAAAATCCAACAATCTTCCACTTGGGCTTTATGTGTCACCTTAACCTGTGCGTTACATAATGGTAGGAGTATTCAGAACTTTACTATCAATACTTGAATGCATCACCAAATAATTCTGTCCATCGACTATAACGACAAAGGATCAAAGTGGTCTTCGCTACAATTGTCGTACCTAAACCCATAAATGATCACGTATATCAGTATAACCAAACAACATTGATCAAATATAGATGTGTAGTATGGAAATTACATGCTATGTGATCTAAGTATGCCTACTTCTAACTAGTGTTGTCTTAACTTTAGTGAGATCAACTGTAAAAAAATTCAAGGATAAAATATAAACAAAAACAAAAGCATTATAACTAAAATTAATTATAAAATCCATAAACCAAATCCAAAATACAAAACTTATGACATGTTTGTATCATAAAAATAACTATGGTACAAAACTCTCACTGAAACTATATATCATCAAAAGGTACTATACCCATACGAGTAATATGCTCATGAAAGACCTTAGATGGTAATCCCTTTGTGAGTGGATCTGCAACTATGGAGTTTATCTCGATATGCTATATTAATATCTCCTTATTCTAAACTCTCTATTTAACAACTAAGAACTTGGTATCTATATGCTTTGATTTCATCAAGCTAAATTATTGTCGGACTACATAACTGTAAACTTATTGTCATAAAATAACTTTAACGGTCTTTCTATACCATCAACAATGCGTAGTCCAGTGATAAAACTTTGCAACCATGTTTCATGATTGGACGCTTTATAACATGTTTTAAACTCTGCTGCCATGGTGGAAGAGATTATGAATGTTTGCTTAGCATTCTTCCAAGAGATAGCTCCCCCAGCAAGTAAGTAGATATAGCCTAATGTGGACTTCCTGCTCTCTTGGCATCCAATGAAATCAGAATCAGAATAACCAATTACACCAAACTAATCTAATCTCCTGCATGTGAGCATGTAGTATTTTGTTCTCTGAAAATACTGCAAAATGCGTTTGACTGTTTTCTAATGATTCATACCTAGATTGCTTAAATATCTCCCTAACATATCAACAATGTATGCAATATCTGAACACGTACAAACCTATGCATACATAAGACTCTCTACATTTGAAGTATAAGGAATATTTTGCATCTCCTTAATCTCAGAGTCATTCTTAGTGCATTGACTAAGTGCAAACTTATCTCCTTTAGATACGGGAGTGTCACCTGATTTACAATCTTACATGTCAAAGCTCTTAAGAATTTTTTCGATATACCTCTTTTGTGATAATCCAAGAATGTACCGAGAGTGATTCTGGTGTATCTGAATCCCTAATACAAAAGAAGCATCTCCAAGATCTTTTATATCAAAATTTTTTATTAGAAATCTCTTGGTTTCGTGCAATAAACTTATACCACTGCTGGCAAGCAGTATGTCATCGACCTATAAAACCAAGAAAATATACTTATTCTAACTAAACTTATGATATACATAATTTTCTACTATATTCATCTAAAACCGAACGAGATGATAACCTGATGGAATTTATGATACTATTGATGGGAAGCTTGTTTAAGTCCATAGATGGATTTTTTTAGTTTGTAAATCATTTATTTCGCATCGCCCGATATGAAGTTTTCTGGCTGCACCATATAAATCGTCTCATCAATTTCACAATTGAGAAATATTATCTTAACATCTATCTGATGCAACTCAAGATCAAAATATGCTACTAAAGTTTTTATAGTCCTTAAAGAGTCTTTCGATGAAACCAGAGAAAAAATCTGTTTATAATCATCTTCTTTTTGTGTAAAGCTCTTAACGACAAGACATGTCTTGTAGCTTTCCACATCGCCATTTGAATATCTCTTGGTCTTAAAAATCTATTTGCAACCAATAGATTTTTCACCTTCAGGCAATGGGATAATATCTCAAACATTATTGTCCTTTATGTACTTAATCTCTTCATTCACGGTATCAATCCATTTATGAGAGTTTGAACTTTACATGGCTTGATAGAAGTCGATTGGATCATCTTCCATCATTTCAGTAACATCTTCATGTTCTTGGAGAATAGAATATAATCATCTGAAATTGCACTTCTCATCTCTCTAGTGGATCTTCTTAATGACATTGGTTCTTGAGGGTGTAAAGTTTATTTTTTTTAAATAACTTCTTGAGCATGAACGAGAGATACTGTGATATTGTCTTAATCTGAATTTGCTTCTTGAACAATGCAAGGATGAGAACCTGATCCTGATAATTGTCAAGAGCAAGTGAGAGAATATCAATATATTCATTTTCAAAGACAATGTCCCGAACTTCCCCTCCCTCCCCCCCTCCCGCTCGTAAACTCAACATCCTTAAAAAATTGGACATTTTCCGTTTAAAAAATTGTCTTAGTAGTGAGATTATAAAACTTATAACCATTGAATCTTTCAGAGTAGCCAACAAAATAGTATACAGTTCTGGAATCTAGTTTTTTTTATGGTCTATAAGGCCTGACCTCAGCTAGAAATCTCTAAATGCGCAAATGTCTCAAGCTAGGCATCTTCCCCGTCCAAAGCTCATATGGGGTCTTTGTAGTTGTTTTACTTAGAACTCTATTGAGTAAATATATTATGGTCTTTAATACTTCTCCTTAGAGTAATTTAGATAAGGTAGAATGACTAAACATACTCTTCACCATATTTTTAAGTGTTCTGTTTTATTTTTTAGCAACACCATTTATGCTAGGCGAACCTAACATGGTGTACTGTGGGACTTTAGGAATCTAGCAAATGATGCTAAACATTGTTCAGCTGATCCATCATATCTACCATAGTATTCATTACTACAATTAGATCTAAAAGTCTTAATTCTTTTGTTGAGTTGGTTCTCAACTTCTACCTTAAAACTTTTGAACATATTCAAGGACTGTGATTTATCATAAATGAGATAAAGGTAGTCATATCTAGAATAGTCA